TCTGTCTGCTCTTCCCCTCTCCATCAGTAATTTAGTAACTTCTTGAAAAGTTCTAGTTGTGATATGAGCTATCATTCGTAAAAGCGTGCTGAATTCCACTTATGGATGTTTCATAAAAAACTGACAGCACCCAAAAGACATGCCCTTGAGCTTGTCAGATTGATAGGCCCATAACTCCCCGATTCATGTTTCAATCCTTTATCAACTCCGTTTTAAAATTGTGAATTTGAACAAGTCTGGTCTCCAGTGCCAGGATACAGCCCCCGAAGTTTATGAAGCTCTTGGAAATATTAACCAGAGTCTCGTTCACTTCAGAGCTACTTTCCTTGAGAATCTGGGGCATATATCCCATCTGGTTTGTGTTCCCTGTAAGCTTTTGGTTCATTTGAGTCTCCTCAGAATACATGCACAACTGACCTTTCTACTTGTTATTGATTCCACAGGCAGTTTGACTTAAGCTTGAAATTTGGCAATGGTTTTTCACCGATGCAGATTCATGCGCAAAATTTGTTCTAAACTGCTGCCACATCCTGATCCCATAATATTTCTATCAACTCTACCAATTTCTATCAACATAGATTGTGTGAAGCGCTTTGAAATGTCTCGAAGACGTGACAAGGCGCTATATCAAATGCAAGGATTATTATTATTATAACTCATTCCTTAAAGAGCCAGTCATAGGCTTTTATCCCTCCCTCGATTGCACACCTACGCTAAAGCATATTTTCCTTTCAGCCCTTCTAAAATTCATTTCAAACTACCTTTTTAATGACTTATAGACCTCTACGAATTTTTACTTTTGGTCAGCCGGGTGTCCGACGCATACGGAAATCCATCACCATGTTTAAGAGTATCCAAAACAGACTAAAAGTTTCATGTACACCACCTACACATACACCTATTTCTAAAAAAATATCAACCCACTCCCCATTTCAATGCTAGTCACGTCCAGCTATATTTGCCAATCCAAGCATAATAAGAGTAAAGTGTTTGGTGAGTGTTTTCACATATATGAGTCTCTTAAGACCCTTCTCTTCCTGCTCCACTCATTCCTCTATAATGCATCTTTCCATTATGAGCGCACACATTAATGGACAGAGTAATTTTGCTTTCATTATACTTGAGGCTTCTCTGCCCCCCCCCCCACCCTCCACCATTAAACTTTCTGAAAAGAGTTTCACGTTCAAATTGTTTCACAAGGTCGGCACATGTTGAGTAGAAAAAGAAGCATATGGCGTTCTGTTTGTTGATAGGCTCTTGAAACATTCCCAGAATAAGGCTGTGACCTGTGACTTGAGGTCAGAAATCAAAAAAAAAATCATACAATTCGTTTAACAGATGAAATAGCATGTGCTGTGCATGAGATCACGCAATAGTGTGACGCATGAGTTCTAGCTCTGCTGCCAAGACTAAAATAAACAGCTCTGACTTCTTGTGTCTGAGCTCACTAATATAATGGAGCCCTGACTGGCTTCTCCGGGCATTGATTAATAGTTCCATTTGGTATGCGCTTAACAAATATCCCAATTAGCTGTGACTTACAGGCTTTTGAATTAAACTTAAAACTTGAGTCTTTTTGTGGATAATAATCCCCTTTCATAATGTGTATTTCTCACAATGTTCCTATATTTTCACATGAAGACCAAGATGCAGATAGTCAATAATATTGCGGGTGATTTATTTCCAGGTGTTCCTGTGAATTACTGTAGTGGGTAAAGATACCAGCGACATTGATACCATTCTGAATATTCCAACGCAGCTGTGAGTATTTAACAGCAGTGAACTAAAAACTGCAGTGAACTAAAAACACCAATTTATCCAACTGATCGTGTGCAGTTCCTGTTAAGTAATTAACCATGTTCTGTATTTTAAACCCTTATTTTACCAGAGTTTTAGGCCACTTTCTAACTGCGTGCTCATGCTACCAGCATACTTACTTTTGCTTTGTTAATACACAGCGATGAAAGCACTGATTGGATCTAAATGTGCCCTGCACATTTAGGATAATAATCCACATTATTTTATCATTTTCTCCCTGAAAGCTGCAGGTTCATACTGGAATAGGACTCCACAAGCTTGACCTAATACCATGTGGCATTTTTTATTGACCATCGATCAATAAAAATAATAATCCTTGCATTTGATATAGCAGATCGTCGAGACATCGCAAAGAGCTTCACAGAATATGCTTTAAAGTGAATTGACTGTGTATTGTGTGGGCGAAACGCAACAGTGCCCTTCCTACTGCTCCACCTGAGATCAGCTAATTTAACGCAAACGGTTGCAGTGCTAAAACCTTATGGAAGCACTGTTGCGTGTCATGGAGCAAAACAAATAGCTTTTTTCCACTAGTGCTGCACAGTCCATGTTACATGCAATGAACCCCCTCAGCAATATTCTGACGGAAGGTCGTCGACCTGAACGGTTAGCTCACTTTCCTCTCTCCATAGATGCTGCCTGATCTGCTGAGTATTCCTGCGACTTCTGTTTTTATTTCTGAAATAGACCTTTTTACCAACATTCTGGCGTGAACAATTCCCTTTTTACTTAGAAAAGGGAAATCCATCTTTCACATGAAAGTATTATGACAGCTGAGTGGACACTCTGCTACAGGGGGCAATCTGTATTGTAAAACAGGACATGAACAACTGATACAGAGAGAGAAAAAAAAGGCACTGCATGGAGAATGGATAACCATTTCATAATAAAATAACCATTGCATTTGATTTATCATCACGTCGTCGAGACGTCTCGAAGTGCTTCACAGAATTTGCTGTCTAGTGTAGTGTAATTTCTGCACAGCGGGGGGGTGGGCGGGGGAATAGACTTTCAATGAAAGTCTGTGTCCGTCACATGCCTCATACAGCTGGTACTCACAGGCTTATCCGTTGGTGGTTTTGTTTCATCTTCCAAAATACACAGTCAATCCACTTTACAATATATCCGGTGAAGCGCTTTGAGACGTCTCAACAACATGATGTGTGAAATGCAAGGATTATTATTATTATTATTACTATTATTATTAAATCTACCTTCCGGCAGTAGACTCTTCAGATCACCTTCGTGAAGACTGTTATCCTCTCACGATTGGTCCTTGCGATTTCCCGCTGGGCTCCCGGATGCTACCCCACTATATGGAAGGGCACTATATGACTGCAAGCTGCTGTTGCTATTGTTGTTGTTGTTTGTTGAGAGTTTTCTTCTTCCCCGGTTCCCTGAAGGCTGAGCTCAATCGCCGATAGCTTTGGCTGCGATGTGAAGAAAGGTCACTTTCTGCGAGATTGCTCAACTCCCAGCCCTGAGTATAAATGCCAGCAGTTGTTGTTGTTGTTGATGATGATGATGTTGCTGTTGAGCTCCTCTGTCGATCAACACTGGCCACAAGCAATGCAATTGGCTTCTAAGCTGATGGGGGGGAGGGAGAGAGAGAGAGGGAGAGAGAGAGAGATGGAGAGATGGAGAAAGAAACTCTACAGTAATATCATTATCTTTGAAAGGTTTCTGTACTGAGGGGAGCAGTTGGAGTTGGAGGTTTAATGAGGTTACAGTGTACAAACAAACCAGTCACCAATTGCTTTCAGCACTGCCTCGATTCAATAGGGAAAAACACTCCAAACCTGGAAAATCTGCCTTATTTCCCCTTCTTTCCAATTTCAAATGATTCCTCTCCCCCATCACACACACACACACACTCACACACACACTCACACACACTTTCTTGTATCTTAAAAGTTCTCTTTCTCTCTCGCTGATGGCAGTGCTGTCTGTAATCTGCGAATCGACTTGACTGACCAGCAATAGGGGACAGTCAGTGTTTGTGCAGAAGTTGATGTGAGGGAATGAGATTCTGAACACACGTTGGTGTGTAAAGGTGTGTGTGTGTGTGTGTACATGTAAAGGGGTGGGGTAGAATAGTGTGTGTGTGAGAGAGAGAGTGTGTGTGTGTACAGGGGAGAGGTGTGGGGAGAGGGGAGAGGTGTATGTGTGTAAAGGGGGAGGTGTGGGTGTGTAAAGGGGGAGGTGTGGGTGTGTAAAGGGGGAGGTGTGGGTGTGTAAAGGGGGAGGTGTGGGTGTAAAGAGGAAGTGTGTGGGTGTAAAGGAAGAGAGGTGTGTGTGTGTAAAGGGGGGAGATGTGTATATGTGTGTAAAGGGGGAGGTGTGTGTGTGTGTGTGTGTGGGTGGGTGTAGGGGAGTGGAGTATTGCAATCGTGTTAACTTCCTTTCTGAAGGCTTCATCGTCTGTATATATGTCTGTCTGTCTGTCTGTGTTTTTGTGCATCTTTCTGAGTTGGAAGTCCCTGTCGGGGGCTGAGCTCAGTGACGCTTCGTGCAGTTGTAAACAGAACCCCAGTGGGGACCGGGAGTCCAACAGCTGATCTGAGAGTCAATTGACATCTTCTGTATCAGTGAATGCTGTCTGAGGGCGGTCTGCGCTTGGCTTGTTACTGTTTGCTTTAATTGATCTATTATAGATCGTCCCTCTTTCTCTCTCTCTCTCTCTCTCTCCCTCCATCCCTCCCTCTATCCATCCACTCTCTCCCTCCCTCCCTCCATCCATCCACTCCCTCCCTCCATTCACTCCCTTCCCTCCCTCTATCCATCCACTCCCTCCCTCCCTCCATCCATCCACTCCCTCCCTCCCTCCCTCCATCCATCCACTCCCTCCCTCCCTCCCTCCATTCACTCCCTCCCTTCCTCCCTCCATCCACTCCCTCCCTCCCTCCCTCCATCCATCCACTCCCTCCCTCCCTCCCTCCATTCACTCCCTCCCTCCCTCCCTCCATCCATCCACTCCCTCCCTCCCTCCACTCCCTCCCTCCCTCCACCCATCCATCCATCCACTCCTCCCTCCCTCCCTCCATCCCCTCCTCCCTCCCTCCCTCCCTCCTCCCTCCATCCATCCATCCATCCACTCCCTCCCTCCCTCCCTCCCTCCCTCCCTCCCTCCCTCCCCCCTCCCTCCCTCCCTCCATCCATCCTCACTCACCCACTCCCTGGGAAGCAGCAGTGGCTGTGCAATGGCACTCTGGGCTCCGGCCGCCTGTGTCTCTGTGCTGCTCGCCCTGTGCTTGTTGGCCAGGCTGTGCTTGGGCAGGAGCTCCTCCTGGGTCAGACCTGGATGCCACCGAGATGACCCAGATAGCCCGAGGCTGGTCTGCAAACCCTCGGCTCTCGCCAAGTACCTCCTGAAAACCTGCAGGACCTTCACCTCGGGGTGTGAGCCCCACTGGGTGTGGAAGAAGTGGTCGCACCTCCAGACCTTTCGCAACGGGATCTGGCCATCGGGTATCTCGCTGGAGTTCCTCCGGGACTACCTGCAGTTGGCTGATGAGGGACTGGTGGCTTTGGACTGGGCTGTGGCCAGGAACTCCACCAGGAGACGAGTGTCCAGCAATTCCCCGGCCCCCATCGTGCTTATCATCCCCAATTCCTTCGGGAAAATCACAAGGAACGTCTTAAAGGTAAGTGGAATATTATTATTATTATTATTATTAATAATGAATGATGATAATAATCCTTGCCATTGGATATAGCGCGTTATCCGTGTTGTTCGTGGAGTCCTGTGGCGCAGGGGGGGGGGTTAGAAGCGCTCGCGGGAACGTTAGGCAAGTTTCCTTACCCCCCACCACCCCCCACCACCACCACCACCACCACCACCACCCCCCGTGTGCGCGCTTCTGTTTGCACAGCGGTAAGTAGGAACCTGGTTGTTAGTCGATTGGCGGACTCGCTTTTCCTGGTTGGGGGTGGTGGCGGTGGGGTGGGGTGGAATAATCCCCTTTTAAAAAAATGTAGTCACTCAATCCATAACTGTTTGTGGGATTCGCCGTATGCACTTCGCTGCTGCGTTTCGGCCACAAAGTAGACAGTCAATTCACTTTCCAGTATATTTTGTGATGCGCTTTCAGGCGTCGTCCAAAAGAAAACAACATCAATCTGCCGGGTACACAGCTCAAGGGAACCCGCTCAGTTGCGAGTGACAGCTTGGCTCAATTAGTGACACTCTAGCCTCTGGGTCAGAAGGTTTCCCCGCACCCCCCGACCCCCATCCAAGAATTGGCTATTTACCTCAATGTTGTGTGTGGTACCTGACTGGTGTAAACTGACTGCCCCATTTGCCCACAGATTTGCCCATTAGGTATTTGCCTGCAAGATACGCAGTCACTACACTTTTGCGGTGAATCCCGTGAAGTGCTTTGAGACATCCTCCAGACGCAAAAGGCTCTGGATCAAATGCAAGGATTGTTATCTTTAAATCATGTCATCGCATGTTATCTTGTAAATCATCTAATTTCTTTGAGCTGCTCTTCAAAGTGAAAGGTTCAACATAAACGTAAGTCGTTATTGTTGTGGGTTCAAATGTTAAAACCGAGGTCCCATTGCATCCACAAACAGCCAGGAGGTGAACAACCAAAGTTATCTCGGAGATTTGTTGGCCACGACACTGGGAGAAATTCTCCTCTCTGTATGAGCAGTTTAATAACATCGACCTGAACAGACAGATATTTGGTTGAACGTCTCATCGAAGTATAGCACCTCCAACAATACAGTGCTATCCTCCGCCTGGAGCACAAGCTCATTCTATTTTTAGCTTTTCATATGGTAGCAGGAATCAGTGATGGGAATTCTGTGGGCATCGGAGATTTACAGCAGTAAATCACACAGCTCTGAATTATACCCAAGCCTTCGGCTGTCTGAACAATCTCGGAGCTATATCATGCCATAATCATATACCATGTAACTCGTGCCCTGATTGCGTGACAAGGTGCCTTTACCATGCACATAGGATGTAAGATAGAATTCACTTTAGAACAGTGCACTTGATCTGATGGGTAAACAAAGATTCAGTGCAAAAGTGAATTCTAATTTCCAGAGACTTGCACAAAGTCTTGTCTGTCTCTCTCTGCTGTGAATTTAGACAGCTTCATTATTCTCCACATTGAAGATGTGTCATCTGAATCCAGTCCAGTCGATGCCCCCATCCCCCATTCTCTATTTGATCCATGTCCAAGTTCTCCAAGATGCTGCCCCATGTGAAGGGCGCTATATAAATGTCAGTTGTTGTTGTACTAGTTATTTTATGCCCTTTTGTTTAGAATTCACAGTAACAAAAAACATAGTTACAAGCAGAGCTGGACCACTATTCCAACTTGCTTCCTTCCCAACTTACCAGCATTTTCTTTTCACACATCTTTCTCCTTATCTACTGATTCTGAGCCCTCTTTATTTCCAGGGACTTGTCTAGGTTAAAGCTGCAGCTTGTTACAGATTTAATGTCGGCTCATGCAAAATTCAACTGCAGCAGCACCGAGAGGCCCTGACCAGAGGTTAAATACATGAGCGAGACATGAGGCAGAAGGAACTAGAGGGATATAAGAGAGCGGATCATGTGGAGTATCAACTCCCATCTGTTTCTGTGCCAATATCATGCTATTGTAACTCTACGTTCTGTGCACGAAAGAGGGGTTTTATAACATTTTTTGAGCTGTACAGATAAGGAAGGTCCCAGCCTTGATCTCCAGTCGGTGTTGAACTGAGCTTTGGTACCATGAGTTTTCTGCAATTGGCCTCAGTGCCTCCACATTAGCCAGCCCTATAATGAAATACTTGATGTTGTGTTGCCGACGATAAGATGTGAAGTTAGATCTAAACCTTTCAGAAGTATATCAGGTACATGGGAGCAGCAATAAAATATATGAAAGAAATACTGTACAGGAGCCATGCGAATGCATTCATCTGCGCTTATTCTCTGCCATAAATCTATTACAATTGAAACCACTGTTTTAGATCCTTTTTCGTTCCTGTGATGAATTCAGTATAATTAGCCTTTGCTGATGAGGAAATTGGGAAGTGATTCGAACCCTTAGTCCACAGGAAAGATCAGATTATTTAAGTAATTTTCAGATGTGAGGAACCAGATTGAAAGTCTCATCTCGATTCATATTTATTTTGTGAACTGGATGTTTATCCATACGTTTCCAATAACTTAAAACGTCAGGAAGCGTGATCAAAGCCGTACTGACATCTGTAGCTTTATTCCCTGACAGCTACTTCTCTCTTGCAACAAGGTATTTGATGTAGTGCATTAACTCCAACACATATATCAATGCCTGAATTATTAAATTCAGGGTATAAAAATGACCCAGATGTACAATTGTCAGTAATATACATAGCAGATGATGTAGTCGTCTAATTAATTGAATAAAACCTGTATCCCTTTCGTTTAGATATTTTGACTTGCTTGTAGGTGCCTGCTGTCCATCACTGTAATGCTTTGTGTCTTGATCTGTTTCTGCTTTGTAACAGTCCAATCTGCTATGTGAAATATATGGTGGTTTCACAGTTTTCTAGTTTCACAACATCAATGATCAAAGAAAAACATCTTCCGGACTTGAAAGGTGTTTTTTTGTGTGCGGTTTAGGTGACATAGCAACTGGGCAACAGGAGTAAATGTAAGCAAGACAGATAGCTCATAAAATCAATTGTGTTAGCATGCAAAGTTTCGCACAAATTGTACTGGGATTAGCAATGTCACGGATATCCTATCTCCATGCTCCAGAGACAATCATTTCGCAAGAGATGGTTAATGTTACATTGATGTCTCTGTACATAAGACAGGCATCCAAAAAAGAGGCAGAGATCCAGGAACTGTCTAGGAAATTGATGAACACGTTCTGTGATTCTGTTGGGAGTTAGAGAAGATGGTACAATGAGTATTCTGGAAGGAGGAAATAAAATAGAATGAAGGGTCTTCATATTTTCCAGTCTTGCAATCTTCAGTCACAAAGCCGGCACCATCAATGCCTCAACAGGCACAGAGGCCTCCTTCCATGCTACAGTCTCCATACATTCTACGGGCACAAAAAGATGAATGTGAAACGTCGCCTCTGTCAATCTGTGCTAACTCTTTGGATTGAGCATTGAGGTGCAGTGAGTGGAAGATATTTGCAAATTGCACCGAAATCCCACAAATGTCACATCCTACAGTAGCCTAACCACAGCGGCTTCAGCAACCGATGGTATGCCAATAACAGACCTAGCAGGTGCACAGCAGCTATTTACCATTAACTGCAGAAATAGCTGCTCACATCACACCCAGTGACCACAACACCAACGCCTTAACTGCAGACTGATTGATTTAAACGTTCAGCAGTTTATATCCTACTTGCAAGGATCCTTCTAGCCGTGAAACTATTTGTGAAAATCTGTCCTGATCAAATAAACTGGTGGAACAGGCCCAATGGGTTGAATGGCTTCCTGTTCCTATGCTCCTTATGTACTTTTTGTTCCTGTGCAGGCTGCGTTCTTTTGAGACCACGACTGTTTGTGGGACACTGCTGTGCACAATTGGCTGTCGCCTTTCGCCCACAGAATACACAGTCAATGCACTTTGCAACATATCCTGTGATGCGTTTTGAGATGTCTCAATGACGTGTTAAGGCGCTATGTAAAATGCAGCGATTTTTTTTATTGAGGCTTTCTGCATCAGTGTACTCCACAGTGCTCTGTGTTAAGAAACATGGTGGTCAGCCCTCCCCAATCTTTGAAGTGCATTTTTGTTACATGACTATTTTAACCATTACTTTGATTTTTATTCACAGATGCCCATGCAGACTATTTATATCATCTAGCTCCCAAGAGCAGGGAGCAAGCAAAAATAATTAGTTTGATGCTGTACAGGATGTAGTATTTGATTAACATTTGTGGCTGTGATTAATTCCCCTGTAGTTACCAGGGTGCTTTAATCAGTTTTATCCCAGCATTGAAAAGCTGTTGCATGTTGTGCAGCAACCATGCCTATCTAACTTGCTCACAGAAGCACTTTTTAAAAAAAAATCAAGAGCATTTATCATTAATTACCTTCTAATCTGTTACGCTGGAAATAAAGGTTTAGATATGCCTTATTTCTGAGATTTAACCTCATCAGCAAAATCCTTTACTGCAACCTGTGTATTGATGCATTCATTTTCACAGTGCAGGAGAAATTGGGACACAGGATACATTACCCACCCACACTATTTACATACCCCTGTTGTGTAACCTATGTGTTTCTAAGTTTATTCCTTTTTCTTGTTGATTTCAAGGGGTTCAAGATATCGCAGTAAGCAAAGGAATGATATGCTATAAGGGCAGCATACACAGAAAAAAAGTCCCACAACCAGTACACAATGCAATTAACATTTATTAAGCGCCTTTCACACTAGAAGGATTTCTCAATGTACTTGAAAGTATGTCCCCTGTGTGACTGTTATCGGTGGGTAATTAATTATACACCTAAGTACCTACTGAAGATGATGAAAGCTGTATTTTGAGTGCATTATTTTTTCAGTGATCAGAAGCACTACATAGATGTATTTGAAGTGCTCCAATTTCAGTAAGTCCGAGTTATTTTCTGTGCTTATTTCGAAGAACATTGAAAATCTGGCACTCAAATTAAGTCAGAAACTAAGAGTGGGAAACATAAATCTAACTTCCTGTTCCATAACATTACAGCGTTGAAAGCTTAAGACACTTTGTTCCCAGCAAGAGCTTGCATTTATACAGTGCCCTCATGTAGGGTTACAGGGTTACTTCAGTGTTTCGAAGCACAGTAAACATGCAGCGCAAGTGAGTTTAGCAGCAATGGAATGAAGGCTTTTAGTCATGTAAAATTTTGATTGTGGTTGCCTCAGGGAAAAGGAATAAGTTTATAGAAAATACAAAAACCAAACCTTAAATTCCAGTATGCTCTCATAGCAACCAGGCAATTACAGGTAACTAAGCTGTTGAAAATGATGGGAGGAAAATTCAAATTCCCCTGAGGTCAGGTATTTGGCACTTCTGCATTGCATTCTGCTCTTGTTATGCATTCAGGCTCATGTGTAAAATTAAATGGCTTATAACATAATACACTGGATATCATCCTTCACATGCCATGGAAAAAAAACCTCCAAACTGAGTGGAATGCCATTATTCTGCGGACGGATCCGGGATGCGATTCACATAATATTTAGTACTGTCCCTAAATGGAATAGGCGCCATTAGTAAATCTCTTATTGGGATCAATTTTGCGGCATTTCTTTATGGAATTGCTTAACTAAGAAATGCAGTGTCAATTTGAAGGGAACTCCAGCCAATTCAGTCTGTTTTTGGGGACTTGACTTGTTCTATCAAGTCAACATGACGTACTTCTGGTCATTGGAAGGAGCAACCTTCCCCAACTCAAGATTGGTCAAAACTGATCATCTCAATAAAAATATAATCAATAGGGAACATTTAAGGCCATAATATGGGCCAGTCCTGGATTATTTCCTGCCATTGGCTTCAGACACAAACAATGTCATAGACAATGAGCGACACCGTTATTGGGAGGCTTCCCAGGAGCAGTCCTACTGAGTGGGTTGGTGCGCCACCCATTGGCCTGACTGAGAATCAGCAAATGTCACGTTTCCAAATACAGTAAACTACATGTCCAAGTTTAATGTAGTTACTGTATTTGGAAATGTTGTGACTGCACTAGTTGTTCGCGCCCTTAATATGGTAACCCAAACACGATGGATAGATATATTTGTTAGGTCAGGGTACTAAGGAATACGGGGCAAGGGCGGGTCATTAGACTTGAGGTACAGATCAGCCATGATCTTATAAAATGGTGGAACAGGCTTGAGAGGCTGAATGGCCTACTCCTTTTTCTATGATAAAATATAATAACAAGAACTTTGTGTTTGTGAGCATTGTCAGAAATCCCTTGCTTACTCTAGTCATTTTTTAAGAAAGATACCTAATGACGTGGAAGTGCATATCCCAATGAAAGAATAGGCTCTGTTTCTCTATAATAAGTAATTATTATCATAGAGAATCTCCCATCAAGTTGCGAAATTACACTTTTCGATTTGTATTGGTTTTGCTGTCTGTACGACAATGTGGAATTTGTCAACTTTGTGGTTCCTCAAAATGAAAGTTTGTTGACATCTTGAGCAGTAAACAGGAACTAAAATCTGTCAGTAGAATAGGGCAACATTTGCATCAGTAAGAGCCCAGAAACAGCCATGAAGTCATTGACCGATTAATGTGCATGAATGTGGGACAGGACAGTCCCGTTATGAACAGCACCTGGGATTTTTAATGTCCAGCTGAGACCGTGCAGATGGGGCGATCCTTGCCACAAGAAGTGATTTAGAGAGGTATTTACAAATATAATTGGTTACATTGTCATCTTCAGATTGTGCCATACATTTATCAGCGGATGGACGATTAAACATTAATTGTACTGTACACAATGCAAATTAGTTACAATCAATAACAAAACATATGTCTGTTTTGAAAATTAAAGTGGCAATGGGTTTACAGAAACTTTAAATACATCTCTTATTGCTTTTCTGTTAAATGATAATGTTAACTGATTGTTGTTGTGTATCTTTAATGGGATTGATTATTAAATGTTCCCTATTATTGAATATATTACCCTTTGCTATCTGTAAGATTGCAATCAGTCCTGTTTACAAAATGTGCAAACAGTAGTATATCCAATATCGCCACCAAAAGTCTATCTCCCCTTTTCATACCTGCTCCCCTGTGCAATTGCAGTCTGGTAATCTGCATGATCATAAAAGAGATCATTCACTTAAGTGTTATTAATTGCTTTGTTAAAATTATTGCGTTACACAGGAAGGAAGTCTGTAGTTCGAAACCCGGTCTGTGCTGAGTTGGCTGATCGCAACAGTTTGTGTGCCACATTTGGACTAAAAACGCCCCTGGGTTAGGGAGAGGAAAATCAGCTGGGGTTCCAGATCCCATTCGCTAACTAGAGTTCCCTGTTAGGGAGTGAGAATGTGAGTTCTTTGGGTGAAGACAAGACTGCGATTATGTCAATGTAGTTAAATAGTCTGTTTAACTGGGGCTGGTCTTTTGGCTAAAGTACTGGAAGATGGATGGCATCTGTTGTATCAATTCCACAGAAGAAGAGGTCACAAAAAAAGGAGACAAATCATTTTCAAGGGAAGGGAGGTACAGAGATTAAACTCTGGGACACTAGCCCGGGTGAAGGGCGCTATATAAATGCAATATTTTTTTTTGAGTTGTTCAATTCCTTTCTCCGTTAGTGAAATTAAATCTTTCTGTCCCCCCAAAATGTTGTTCTAAATCCAACTCTTTCCTCTTTGAAGCTCTGTGCATCAGCCCTGGACTGTGGTCACCGCCCTGTGATCTTTAATCGGAGATGCCAGAATGGAAGCCTTTTGACCACACTGAAGCTACAGCAGTTCGGTGACCCCTCCGACCTGAGAGAAGCGGTCAGATACATTAGGTATAAGCACCCCAACGCCAAACTCTTCACAGTAAGTGAGAGCACAGGAGCCGGGCTGCTGCTGGCCTATCTTGGCGAGTGTGGCTCCTCCAGTTACGTGACATCCGCTGCCTGTATCTCTCCCGTCTTCCGGTGCCAGGAATGGTTTGAAACAGGGCCCCCTTGGATTTACCGCTGGCTTCTCCTTCTTTATCAGAAAACGTGGCTCAGCAGGTGAGTTTGAACCGTTTCGGTGTTAATTGCGTAAAAAAAGTAATTGTTATTGAGATTAGTACACGTTGGGCCATCTTTCCAGAGGCGACAAGGGAGCGCAGATTCAGATTGAGATGGTCACAATGCACTGTGAAGTGGATTAACTGTATATTTTGTGGGTGAATTAAAAAATATAAGAATGAAAAATAAATAAAAAAGCGGTTTGAAGTAAATCATCTTCACAGAGGGTTGTTGGTGAAATATTCCAAATTCTAAGTATGGTGAAGCCACTTGAAAGTTGAAGCCAAATCCACAGGATTTAAAATGGGAATGGGATAAATAAAGTCAAATAATCTTGGCACGGATGGGGAAAGAGCAGGGGAATGGAATTTGAGTAGAGAGCTCCATTTGGGGAGCAAGCACTAGCACAGGCAGAATGAACTGAAAGATTTCTTTCTGCGCCGTAAACTTTCTATGAATCTCTACGATCCGGTTTTTTTAAAAACTGCTCCCAGAGTAAGAAATGTTCAATCTGACTGGCGTGTGAGTGCTGTAAATGACCCCGAATGTTATTTACCAATCCTAGATATACCACCGTACTGGGAGAAATTGTAGACATGGACAAGGTGTTTGCTACTTGGACTCTCAGAGAAGCGGAAGAGCTTCTATTTTGCAAGACGAGGAAGAATAGCCTGTGTTGGGATGTGTACTGGGAGAAGAATGACCCTCTGCGGGATGTTGATGAGGTGGCTGTGCCTGTCCTGTGTATCTGTAGCCAGGACGACCCATTCAGGGGAAACATGGATACAAGCCTGCCATTTGAGCTTTTTGAAAGCAACCCCCATTTCTTTTTGCTGTTGACCAAGTACGGCGGCCACTGTGGCTTCCTAAAGAGAGGTTCCGCTGTGTGGAGCCATGAAGTGTTGCTGGAGTACTTCCGATCTGTCAGCGAGTTTTTCGTGACAGAGGAAAGGACGAAAAGTTTCTCGAAGAGGAAATCCACGGCGAGCGGAGGCTCTGTGGCTTTTAAATGTGGTAGAGGGAACAATTACAAGAGAGATTCCTTTTGTACGCACAACATCCATGACATTTTCAATTGGCAACGATCCTACACCAGATAATACAGACCAGGAAGGTTCAGAAGCTGACTTTTCTGCTGATCTCAGTGTCAGATCACACTTCTTTGCTTGTGGGTCCTACAGCACATCATGTGGTACATATCCAAGCGGACAGGTGAAATCTTTAACAACGGACTTCAAAACTCTCTTGAAACCCTCTCTTTGACCATCCTTTTGTCAACACCCTTAAATTCTCCTTCCTCCTCTCACTGATCAGTGCTCCCTATCATCTCTGTGAAGTGTTTGAGGTGTTCATCCAGTGTGATAGGTGCTGTACAAGTGGTGTGAAAAAAAAGTATCTTTAGGTTTATTGTTGACACACAGCTTCTTTGTGGTTTGAACTCGTTTCCATTTTTAAGTGATCTACTTTTAGAGCTTAGAGCGTCACTCCAACAGAATTATAAGGCTGCATCTTGACGTTGTGTGGGCACAGATCAACAACACCTGTGACCTGTTCAAATGTAGAGTGAGAAAGGTCTGCCATTATTTGCCAGCCAAACTGTAGAGAGTGAGGATTGAAGATGCAGCAGAGCAGACGTGAAATTGCAGCCTGATTTATTTCTGGTTATCAAGTCTTTGAAAATGTCATTGTTAATTCTACCGCATTCTAAGATGGCATTTTAAGTTTTAAAATCATTTTTAAGTGCCTGGTTTTCTTGACAGACGAGTCAAAAAACAGACAGTTGGGTCCAAAGCCAGGTGGGTGTTAACAGAACAACAACAAATTATATTTACACAGTGCCTTTCATGTCAGGAGGATGTCCCAAGGGGCTGGACAGGGATTTGGACCTGAGCTGGGGGTTGGGAACAGGTGGTGGGGAGTGGTAGGAGGGTGGCCAAAGGCGTGTTCAAAGAGGAGGGTCTTGAGGCGTACTGTGAAGGCAAGGGAACGAGCCAAGGGAGTTCCAAAGGATGGGGTCAGAGAGACTGAAGGCCCGACTGCCAATGTTGGGGCAGGCCCGGCGGGGCATGTGGAGCAGACCAGAACCTGCTGAGTGGAGGGAACGGACGGGTTGACATGGCCACAAATGTAGTCAAAGTACAAAGAAAACACACAGTGTTCCAGAACATTAACCAGCTCCTAAGTGCAAATGTGGCTAAGTGAGATGCCCTTTATCATTTAACTTCTTCAATTGTCTGTTACTGAATTGTTATTTTGGGGAGACTTACAAGTGATTGACCTGAGCATAAGGTGGATTGAATTTAAAACCAATGGCCAAAAATAACAACAGATTCCGCACCAATTAGTCGTCAGCTTTTTGGGTAAAGAAATCACTGTGCACTACAAATGTAGTCGGTTTAAATCACCCTTTGCCGCAAAATCTGCCTTCTGTTTCCTGCTCTGACATTGTGAAATTTCAAAAGGTTCCTGAAACCTTTGCGGCCATAGCATTTTTTTAAAAATTAGAATTAGTTTGAAAGAAATCAGTGTGTTTTTTAAAAAAAAGACATGTCTTTTTTCAAAACTCTGCTAATTGGATTAGAGGCCTAATTAGAGACCAAATGATAGAATTTCATGAAAGGAAAAGCTATGTGGCGCCCTCATTAGCAGCCATACTGTCCAAAGGACTGAATAGCTTAATGTCTTGCATCATTTCAGCTAAACCAGGGCATCTCTTCTGGTGATTCCCAGAAAAACCTAGTTAAGTGAAGGAAAAAAATGAAGGAAAGCAAATTTAGTTTTCTCAAAATCTTCTGATCAGTCCATCTGAATAGAGTTTTGACCGCAAAATTGAGCATTACACAAGATCTTGTAGTTGCTCTCTAGCTCTGACACATGCTGGCTCTGCCCTGCCCATAACGTTGTAATCCTCAAGAAATGTCTTAATTTATGATACTTTCAGGTCACCCCTTTCCTTGTTCATAGCATTTCCCCTTTAACTCTTAACATTCCAAAATACAACCTTAGCAAAAGTTTCTGTTTTTTTATCATAATAAAAATCCTCGCATTTGATGTAGCGCCTCATCACGTCGTTGAGATGTCTCAAAGTGCTTCACAGAATATACTGTAAAGTGAATTGACTGTGTATTTTGTGGACAAAATGCAGCAGCCAATTGCGCACAGCTGCGTCCCACAAACAATCGTGGATTGAGTGACCAAATTTAGGGGATTAGACACATGTAAATAAACACACCTGGCTATTTTATTTTATTTTGATTATAAATGCATGGAAAATACTTTAGACATTCTGTGTGATTGTCAATCCTATCTGTTTGATGGTAAAGGGTTCTGTGTCTTAAAACAGAAATCTAGTGAACGCTTGAGTTATTGCAAACTCAATGTAATATGTAGTCTATGATATCCAGTGTTTTAAACCGTTCATTGAGCATCAGTGTCACCTTTTATACTGAAGTGTTTTGTACGTTCAAGTGAATGTGGTTCTGATAATGTGTTCAAATTGTATTTTTAAGACATTTATTTATGTGCGTATATTCACATAATTCTAATAAGAATATTAAAATAAAATACAATGTTTAAATATAATACTGGTAGCTTGGGATAAAGGCAAACCTGTACCATATTTCAGGATAATTCAGCCAGATGAGAGGACGGTTTAATTTAGGGAATCCTGAATCGAAAACGGCAACTTGCATTTATATAATGCCCTTAATAATGGGGCAGCATACAAATGGGAGGCAGCAGATTCAAGAAGCTGTCTTACCATTATTTCTGTGAGATGCTGGAAGACCAGCCTAACGAGCACAAGACTCTCTCGGTGGTGGGGGGAAGATTTTACTCAAACTTCATTTTTTTTTGGAAGTGTTCTACAGTTGTGTTTTCTTAGCAACTAAGTTTCTTGTTTGCGGCCGTGTGCGCTCTTATTGATCAATTGCGTTTGAAGTTCCCGCAGCAGCTCTTTTCCCAGACTGATTATTTGACCTTTAATCTTCAGGGCTCTGCTTCCAAACCAGACTGAATTCAAGAATATTTCATGATCTTAATTTTTTAAACAGTCTGCTTCTGGGCTAATAGTCACCACGAGAACTTAGGCTTCCGAAAGGTCTAAGTCTAGGTCCAAAAGGCTCCATCTTCAGGCCATGCCTGAACACCTTCCTATTCAACCGTTCAACCTCATCCCCTCCCCCCACCCACCGCTCCCGACTTGGGGTTGAGCTCTACCACTGTCAAGCGCTCTGGGACGCTACCCTGTGTGAGGGAGTGCTACATACATGCAAGTTGTTGTTGTAGAAATCCAGTTACTAACCAGATCATGGGTTGTAAAACAGGAAGAGGAGAGAGACGTTCAGTTATCATGGGGCTTTATCTCATGATTCTGTGATTCTGCATCTCATGATTTCTGAATGTAACCAGCCCTTTATCAGTATTCCAGGCAGCAAAATTGCTGTTTGATCTTTGCTGAAATGGGTTTAAAGAAATTCCATCCCTTTCCACAGGCTCGAATTCAAAGGGGGTCAGTAATTCTTCTCACTTATCATTAATTACATCAACATGATACGAGCCTCCTGAATACTGTGATACGTACATGCACAGAGTAATCTGTAGTAGGTAATTTCATACCCCAGTGCACCAGTGCTTTCTCTATCTGCCACTGGGTAGGAAATGGTTAATGCACGGGTTGGATTTTAAGCGAAACAGACTTCAAAAAAAGAATCTTTAAGAAGAGCTGAACTGACATTGCCCTCAAAATGCTATCTCAGTTTCAGACACTAATGCCACTATTTTCTGTTTTTATTTCAGGTCTCCAGTATTCAGTTTAGCCATTTTATCCCCCTTAACATAATAATAATCATTGCATTTGATATAGTGCCTTATCACGTCTTCGCGACGTCTCAAAGCGCTTCACAGAATATACTGTGAAATGAATTGACTCCATGTTTTGTTGACATGCCAATTGCAGATTTTCAGTAGCTTTAAATACTGATGTGGTTCACAGCTCATTTCATCTCTTCTCCTCGTGCAGAATTTGTTCATTTGTCTTTTCAGGTAGACATTAAACATCCTCATGATATGAATCTCCCTAGAACACTCATCCAGATCAATTGGCCATTTGTTTCATGCTTCATAGCTGTTTGCGTGTGGCCCTTACTGGTGCAAATGGCTTGCCTAAGTGCCTGTAAACTCAGCCACTGCATTTGACAGTAATAAGCTGGGAGGCACTTTGAGATATTTCTCAGTGATTAAGGGTGCAATAAAAATACAAGTTCATTCTTCCAGTGTATCATTGTTTCCTCTTCACATTTCAATCTGAGGGAACCACACACTCTACTGTCTATCCCTGGAGATTCATTTATTGTGCAAGTTTGCTCTTTTCAGAATTCGGATTTAAAGTGGCAAATGTTAATCCAACCAAAGACATCCTCTGCTGTTGTATTCATGTCAGAACGTTCTCCGAGGAAGGTATGGTGCATGCCTTGAGCTGAAAGCAAATTTAATTGGTTTGAGACCTTTTAGAAGAATTATGGGCTCAGCTGTTTTGAGCTTTGTAAATAAACTTGAACGTGTCTGTTATGCAATATATAATGTGACCTTTATATTAATGGTAGGTTTAACTGCCTGCGATAACAATTCAGTGCGTTTATCGCACTTTTATGCAGGCTGGATAAGTCAAGGAGTATCCTGAAGGTGCAACTTGTGTGTTAGTGTGAACAATGAGTTGCCACTTGGCGGGCTGGTTTGAAATGTCACGAGTATACGACCCATTCAAAAAATTTTATTATCATTTTAAGCATTTTAAAGGAAAAGATTTTGCTTTGTTTTTCCAGGTGTTTCACGAGAAATTGGAAATACGTCAGATATTTTGTCTTATTTTTTTTGCAGACGTACGGACAGAAATATCCCGAGTGCAGATAACACTGTCACAATTGAACTCCTTTCCCTCGACAGAATGGGGACTGCAACAGAATAATGCAGCTAGCCAGCTCCATCTAGAGGACAGCAAGTGGAAAGCTGGAGGCGAGAGACTTTCACCCTTTTTGTGGGTTTCAAGCATCAATTTAGTCGGCATCTTTTGTTCTGAATATTTATTGTGGATTCATGTAGCTTAGTGGTTAGAGCACTCACCTTGCAAGCTAGAGGACCTAGGTTCAATTCCTGGGCAGGGCGAAAGATTGGGCAACTTTCCTTCCTTCCTCCACACACCTCTCTTTACCTAGCAGTAAGTAAGAACCCAGTTGTTAGTCGATCGGTGGATCACTTTTCCCTTGCGGGCAAAAGAATAAAAATTTGGTCACTCAATCCATGACTGTTTGTGGGACACTGCTGTGTGCAATTGGCTGCCGCGTTTTGCCCACAAAATATACAGTCAATTTAATTCACTTTCTAGTATATTCTGTGAAGCACTTTGAGACGTCTCAAAGACATGATAAGATGCTATATCAAGTGCAAGGATTATTATTATTGTGTCTCTCCTCGTGTACAATGCAGGATGACGGAAAGGACCCTGCATTCTTAAGCCTATTAGGGCAGGTTTTAGATTGTGGGCCTCGATGCCAAAACTCCCCTGATGGCACAACAACATTCATTCAACAGCAGTGACAAAATCCTTTATCAGCCAGCAAATACAATCATGGAGAATTACTAACAGTATGTATTGTCTACCCAATCCCCAAGGCAAGACAAGATGCCATGTGGTCAGGGCTGCAAAGGGCAAATTTAGTGTAGACACCAGGAAGTATTCCTCTATACAGCAGATGGTTGACTGCTGAAATGGATAACCAGGCCAAGATACTGAACTCATTGAAGAAACAGCTTGATGCAAATGATTAGGTTGAATTGTGGAAGAACATCATTG